ATCTACATAAACATGCATAGGTGTTCTGTGTCCGAGGTCACTGTCAAGGCTGGCATTCCAACATGGGATTTTAAAGCTTGACTTCATCATTTGTCTTCTGGGCTACTGGTCCTGCATTGGATTTTCTGTTCCATACATAGAAGGAAAAAAAATTGAATTAAAGCTGCAAGCAGTGATGGTCAGGTCCTCACTGTACGATTGTCAGCCGTTGCACACATAAGGGTGTGGCGCAACTGATCAGGCATATTGAGTTCCAGGCAGATCGGAGCGCGTGCAACCTAGTTTTATGTGACCTGGCAAGCTGAGGCAGCATTTACAGAGTTTTTTGTGTGTCCCGACCTGCTACATATGCCTACCGAATTTTGTAGCTTGAGGTGAAAATTTAAATTTTGTAGGGGGCGCTGTGGAGCCATTTTGCCATTGACATGTCCTAGTCCTTTAAAACATCTAATTTTTCAGCAGTGCCGATGTGTGTGGCGATTTTGGTGAGTTTTCTGGTATGTTTAGACCCGCAAAATTGCATTTGTTTGGGACGAAAAATAATAATCACAGCAGTTCCAATAGGGTCCTTGCACTGTTAGTGCTGGGACCCTAATAAAATATATAAATATAAAATCCAAAAAATATTACGCATAAAAATAACAATAAAACAATGCTTGCTAAAAGGAGATCCAAGGAATCCTTGATTTTTTTGTTTTTATGTACTATATATTATGTACTATTTTGGAGGGTCATAACTTCAGTTCTCAATTAGTTTGATTAATCTCATCAGGGTCTTAACGTTATATTTAAATTAGTCAGGTTGGGGTCCATATTTGATAATAATTAGTATTTACTCTAATCAGGTAAAAGATATTGTTGGGTTTAAACCTTATTTTTTTAATTACTCAGGTAAATTCACACCCACCATAATTAACATTATAGGGTCAAAGTGTGCCACTCTGTTTTTTGCCTTGAACAAAAAACTAGCCACAAGCAACAGGAACCACTACACAACCTTTGAGTCTCTGTCACTGAGTTTCCAACAGTGCAAACTGTATCACCAGACTGTATCCTTGAGGTTTAACAAATATGACAAATGCATTTCCTTCCTCATAAAACACTTAGAACAGGTTTGTATTTAAAGTTTGTATCCTGCTTTTTTTTACGCCCATGTTTGTAAGCACATAATCATCTTTTTTCCTGCCTAGTTTAGTAGAATAGTGCATGTCTAGCCTCATGCAGTTGGGGAAAAAAAACAGAGCTCCACTTAGACCATAATGTTATTAAAACTAGGTTTAAAGGTTCACAGGGAACCCTCAAGGCCAGAACTCTGTCAGGGTAAGAAGTCACCAGGAAGTGAGTGTGAATTAATAGGATGTCCTCATAAGTGTGGAAGTGTGTGTCTGTGAATATGTACATAATAACATACTGAGGAAAAAGCATCTGAATCTTCATGACTTTGACTCTGAGACAAACTGCCTCCTTACTGTGTAGTTATCTTTGACATGTGATGTCCAAGTTCAGCTTTCTGAATTTAACAACACATTATTTTATATTCCTAGGTTGACCTGTATTCTTACAGTTTGAATGGAATGTGATTTTGTTTTCAAACAAGATTATTTTCATCCAGAAATGTAAGACTATGACATAGCAGGAACTGCTTCCAGTTTGAAGGAGCCACAAAGGGGAGGATGAGACAGCAACAAGACTTTTACCCAAAAGACATGGTCTTTTGGCGTGTTTGGGACCACCAACATTCTTAGATATGTTTCCTTTTCACTCGTTCTATATATTTGATTTTCACTTGCTGTTTGGTTAGGTTTTAGGTTTGTACACCAACACTATTTGCTTAGAAATTGGGAAATGCTTGGATTGGGTTTTAAATACATCTTTCACAACATGTTTGAAGTTGTCCTCTATTTTCTGGGTTACCAGGGTGACAAGACTGGAACAATATGTGATTAGTGGAGTGAAAGGGAGCAAAGGTGAAGTAGTAAAATAAAAGGAAAAGATATCTTAATTTGAGAAATATGTGTGATGCACTACACATAAATGTTATCCAACAGAACCAAGTTTAGGAATAAGCTGTACAGGAAGGAAATTCTTAGGGGACTGGCCTAATGTGATACTTCAATATCACTGTGAAACAGCCTGAAAACTCTAAAAGCAACGAAAAGGAAATAAATCTGTCTAATGCACTTTTTCCTAAAGTGCATAGGAGTCTCTATTGTTTTATGAATAAATAAGTATAAGTTGTATCACAGTATGTGAAAAACAAAACCCTTATTATCATCAGTCTGTAATTATTTTGGATCACTTAGTATGGCTGTGCATTAATCTAAGCCAGAAATCTAATCAGTAGCTACAACTGATAAAGGTCAAGTTGTATTTCAGAACAGACACTTTGAGCTAATGTGGAGGCAAACACAGATTTTAAATAAATAAAAGTGATGGAAATTTCAGCAAAAGTTTTGTAACCACAAAAAACATTTGCTTCAAATAAGTTTCTCCTCAGTCACGCTAAATTTTAAGAATTCAGACTATGTTTGGTTTTATCAGTTGTGCTTACCATAACAGTGCATGTATATACAGTCTTTATATGCAGTAGGTGGTTTTAGGAAGCATTCTGAGTGTGGTCACATTCTGTTTCCCCACCTAAGCGGTATGGATATTCTGTTTAAATTTGCTGTCGTTTCTAACCTGTGTGACCTTCTGTAGCCTGAAGTGAAAGTGGTTCTTCACTGCGCAAACACTTCAGCTCTCAGCTTTCTCTTACTTTAACATGGAGCTGCTGGTGCTTAAACATGACTTTAGAAAGTTTTAATGATGCTGTAGTCGCTACAGACAAATATTGTCCTCTGATGTTGGATATTTTGAAAAGAAAATCAGTGAACATGTTACTGATATAATAAATATAGATAGAAGTATCAACACATACATTAATGAATAACGTCTGCTGAATA